ATTTTTTTAAAAAAATGTATCCCACCATTTTATGTTGCTAAGGTGGCAAAAAAACATACTCCTTCCTCCTCCTCTTTTTTCCACAACAGCCCTGTGGAGTGAATTGGGTTAAGGAAGAGTGACTGGCTCAGAAGTGGTATTCAGCAGGTTCTGACCAGTTCTGGAGAACCGATTGTGAAAATTTTGAGTAGTTCGTAGAACTGGTAAATAACACCTCTGACTGCCCCTGCCCCCATCTATTCTCTGTCTCCTAAGTCCCAGCTGATCGGGAGGGAATGAGGATTTTGCAGTAACCTTCCCCTGGAGTGGGGAAGGAATGCAGTTTTTACAGTATCCTTCCCCTGCCACGCCCACCAAGCCACACTCACAGAACTGGTAGTTTAAAAAAAAATTCACCATGTGACTGACTCATGCCTAAGGCAGGACTAGAACTCACAATTTCCTGATTACTGGGCCACGCCTTAACTACTAAACCAAGCTAGCTCAAAATTGCACTATATTAGGACAAATCACAAAATGTGCATAGCAGAAAATGCTGTACACAAAAAATGCTTATCATGAAAAAACATATACATGACAAAAAATTCCTTTTTTTAAGTTGCAAAAATTATACAGTAATTACTTTAGTTGATCATACACAAAATAAGTCAGATTTGGGAAGACTGCTCCATTCCTGATCCTAATTTTCATCCACTGGAAAGTAGTGGGAATTAACTTCACCTCTCTAGTTGAGATTCATAATTTAATGTTTTTCTCATTGAATGTCAAACATTTCTAAATTGTTTTGAATTAATTATTTTTGGATATTAAAATTCCTCCTTAACAAACAAATAAACAAAAATAGTTGATACATATGATCCAATATCTTATAAAACAGCAATATATAAACATAGTTAATGAATATATATATATATGAATATAAGACTAATAAAATATATTAAATTGTAGGAAATCATCTTAGGTTATAGTGTATATTTTATCGCTGCTTATAGCTTTTTTTTTACAAAGTCATCTTATCACAGAAATGGAAAAGCTAATTATTGTCTTGGGATATCAGGTGATACTTCAGAAACCATGAAATATGCTGGTGTCCCTCTAATTTCTAACAAAGTGTGCAATCATGGAAAGGTCTATGGAGGAATTGTAGCATCATCAATGCTCTGTGCAGGTTATTTAAAAGGAGGCATAGACACCTGTCAGGTAAGAACATTTCTTATTGCTACATGTCTAAATTTTATTCTTGATTAAATGTGTATTAAAAATATGAATTCTGCTGTCAGTCTTATGCAAAACATACTATCTTTTAAAGAAGACCTCTAAGTGGCATTTGATGACAAATTTTCTTTATCTCAGCCATCGAAAAACATCCCTGGGTCACATCAGCCTGTGGTCAAATTATAAATGCATGCAAATAAAAATGATATAGGAGATGTGCAGAAACATCACTGGGAATATTGTAAATTAAGAAATTCACCTACTATGTTTTGTTTAGGAGAATATAAGAAAAGGAAGAATGGCAAGAATCCAAAGCTTAGCTGTTAAATATAGAAGAACTCAGTTTAAGTTTTTGGCAAAGATCTGCTCCTGCTTCTTACAGAAATATCCCTCTTCATATATGTTGCCTTTGGAGATGGTGGTTTGGGATTCTGGATGTTGTTTCCTATCTTTTATGGAGAAGCCCAAGTTGAGGGAGACAGTAGTAGAGAATAGCCATGATCAGCCTGATAGGCTATAATAAACTGTATCAGTGTTTCTCAACCATATCTGCTTGAAGATGTGTGAACTTCAACTCACAGAATTCCCTGGCAGCAAAGCTATGAATTTTGGGAGTTGAAGTCCACTCATCTTCAAGTGGCCAAGGTTGAGAAAATACTGAGCTATATGACAATGACAAAAGGAAGTTTCTTTTTTCATAAAACTTTTGTCAGTCTCTCAGAAAAGTCATGCTGTGAACTCATCACAGAGAGAGTCTTCCTCTTCATTTGCAGTTGCTAAGCAGCTTGAATAAAAGCTTACAATTGTTTCTTTAATTAATCGCTCTACTGTTTTCTAAGATGGCAGTCCTTAAAGTATGAGGTAATTAAAAGGTAGCAAATGTTCTCCAGACTATATAGGCTCAGGTAGTGCAATATTTTTCAGGCATGGCCACATTATGTTTTTCTGTCTCTTTCAGGGAGACAGCGGGGGGCCACTGGCATGCAAAGATTTGAATACCTGGAAGTTGGTGGGAACAACCAGTTTTGGGGTGGGCTGTGCAGAAGAAAACAAACCTGGAGTCTACAGTCGCATCACCTCATATCTGGATTGGATACATGAACAAATGGAGGTTTACTCTCTTGATAGTTTCTTTTCTGGGCTTAAGCGTATTGTATCCAGTGGGAGCAGGCAGACAATTATGTTTTCTTTTGCTCATTTGCAACCTTTTCTCCGCCCCCCCCCCCCGGGGACATCAGTAGTGGGGGATAAAATAGTCAAGATGGCGGCCTCAGACTCCAATCCTTTTTGGCATCCATCAATGTAAAAGGAAATGGACTTCAATGATGTGGTTGTGTTTGTCATCTTAATTCCTTCTTCCCTGCAGATGTTTGTGTTTTCCTCTGTTGTTGCAAATATGTGAATGGCACAACAGAAAGGGATTTTCTGATGTTATACTATATTAAGTTGGCAATTGTAGGGGCAATTGTTGAAATCCAGTTGAAATTGTTTATCGTGTGGGTGGGAAGAAACCAAACCTAACTCTTCATTTCCTGTAATAGGAAGAAAGACTTTGATAACATGCAAAGATTTACAGCATGCCATAAGGCTGAGTGCCAATTGAACTTTGATAGTATGGTAGTCCTGCCACACCCTAGTATGCTTCTATTTATCCAGGGATAAAATAGGAGAAAGATTAGATTTGCAAAGTTATGCTTAATCATTTCCTGCTTGGTTTTGCATTGCCAATCAGAGGCAATTATTTCAGGAATATGAGCACGTATTCTTAAGAGAGAAGCAGGCTTCATGCGAGGCACCTCCCAATGTAATATTTTACTAATCTGCAGAATGGCAAACAGCTTAAGAGTGATCTAGTCATCCGACTGATGCTATCACTCTTTTATCACTCTTTCTCAGCAGTCCTTGCTCAATCCTTAGACTATGCAATGGGTGCAGTAAAGGAATGAACAAGCTCTATTGTAAATGAAACAGAATCATAGCTCCTTATCAGCGAATTATGGATGAACAAAAAGCTACACTTTTAATAAGTCCATTGAAAGAGTTTTAGAATGCAATGACAATTTAGGAAGAACATTTGTTGTACATAAAAGCTGCATCATTGTTAGCCTAGCACCTTTCCCATGATTTGTCTATGTATAGATCTTCTGATTTTAAGTCAACATCTTTCCATAAACTTTGGAGATGCTGATTTTGCAGATCTATGTAAATATGTTCACCAGTATTATCTCCATATGAACTCTCCATATACGTTTGACAGTAAATTGCATTAACAATGACAGCACCCTTCTGTAATGAAGAACATAGTTATCAACTATGTGGAATCATAACTTTTAGTTTTTTCAACCACAGACAAAGGAACAAGTGGTCAATTGATTCCCATGAATTACAGTAAGTAAGATATTTAAGTACTTGGACAAAGTATTTCAAGCCTCTAGGAAATTAACGGCCCAAGTAAATCCTGTCACTTCTGCTGCCCAAAGAGCACACTATAAACTAAATTTTATAGGCAATGTGGCAAATTACATTCCAGCATCAGTCAAGCTATTTATGGCCAAAATAGTTGCACAAATTTCATGCGGGATGCAACTTGGCACATATACAAACCTATGGGTTTATGAAAGCACTTAGGACTTTGTTCAGTATCCCAAAATGGTCTCCTAATGAAATCTTGATTTTTATCCATAGAGAGAAGAATGGAAGGGAGACAGTTAGCATCATCATCATCATCATCATCATCATCATCATCATCATCATCATCATCATCGTCATCATGCATTCATCAAAATGCTCTACAATTAATTTTCAGCTTTGATAATTTTTGTACTTTTTAACAAAAGTGCTGCAACATTTCCTGTAACTACACAATATACTTTTACAATAGAGATTTTTTTTACCTTCTTTGGATGACTTTGTGCAGTCTGGAAATGAAAGTGTTATGTTCTGAGCAGCCGCCAAAACAAAGAGTTTGAGCGGGAAGCAATTCGACACCTGATTGGCTGATCGTTTGACAGCTC